GAATAGGTGGCTGCTAGAGATAAAAGGATATGAACTGAACTCATCTTAGCTACTGGTGCAAAGGTTTCCAGATAATCAACACCATAGGTCTGAGTATACCCTTTTGCTACCAACCTTGCCTTGTACCTCTCTATCTTGCCATTGGCCTTATACTTCACTATGAACACCCATCTACATCCGACTGTCTCCTTGTCTGGGGGGAGATCAACTATTTCCCAAGTTTGACTTTTGATCAAAGCATCCATCTCATCTTGCATGGCTGTTTTCCACTCAAGTGGAGAGAGCCTCAGTAACATTCCTAGGTATAGAAACAGAATCCAGGGAATAAAGAAAAGCACGGTAGGAGGGTGATAAGGCACTATAGGAAAGATGGTGTGAAATGCAATGGGTTGTACACTTTTTCTTCCCCTTACGAAATGCAATGGGAAGATCAAGGTCAGTGGAATCAACTGCAACAATGGTGTTAGGGACAGAAACATTATCATCAAAAAACATAATAGGCTCAGGCTCAAGAGGAATACCTGGAACTGTATCTGCCGAATCTGGAGTTTCAAATGAACTGACAGAGAGTGGTGTGGGTTGCGAATGTGTGGAATCAACCATCATCTGTCGGTGCTGATATTTTTGTGAAGCTGCCTGTAATGGCTCAAGTAATGAAACTGGAGGTGTAGGTGTTGGCTGAACTGATTGAGGCACCACAGAAACAGGAAGAGGAACAAATTGTGAGTTCTCCTCCCCAAAACTCTCCCCCTGAGAAGAACCGCTCGAGAAGAAGAATGTGGATTCAAAGAAGGTAACATCCATAGTGACAAATCTGCTCCTCGACACTGAGTCATAACAAAAATACCCCTTTTGGTTCTGAACATACCCAAGAAAAACACATTTCTTGGCCTTAGGATCCAATTTCTTGCGATGAGGGCCAAGAATGTGAACAAAAGAAACACAATCAAAAACCTTTAGAGGTATATGAAATATCTCTCCATCTGGAAAAAGAAGGCTAAATGGCACCTTAAACCCCAAAGTCCGTGAAGGAACACGGTTAATCAAATGCATGGCTATAAGAACTGCACAGGAACTGAAGCACACACCATAAGACTCCTTGCCACCTCCACAATGTGTT